ATGTATGTTATAAATAGTCTTAATGGGAAGAGCTGTGTCAAGTCTCAGATAATACAAATATATATATGAAATATGAATAATAATAATATGTATTTGGGTAACACTTTAAGGTACACCAATTCATCATCAACTAGTTGTTAATTAACATGCATATTAGCAGTATATTGACTTTTTTTTGCCGTCAATGAGGAAAATAAATGGAATACTGAAATCTGTATTTTTTGTCATCTTTTTTTCCTTCTAATTTGTTATTATTTACATTGCTTTTAAAATCGTTCTGTGTGACACGAAAAAAATGGCGAAATCGTGTTGGTGAACACGAATCAATAGATTAATTTCATGACTATAACACGAAATGCCGTGAGACAGGAGCCTCGTCTCAATACCCCTCCTCGATTCCTCTCTTCCCCTCCTCCGGGACTTGACCCGGAAATCGATCAAGACACGCCATTTTGAAGGACGTCCCAATAGAGTGGCGAAGTCCCTCCCACTTACTTCCGGGTAATGGGACCTTATTCCGGAAAAGTTATGCATTGAAGTCAATGGGGAGAGAAAACTTATCTTTCGATCCCGTTTGAATTGTGCCACGAATTACACATATGATGTTTGTCAATCTTAAAAAATCATTTCCATGTCAAAAAAGTCACAGTTTGTCGTAAAACTGTTGAAATATAAGACTATGAAAAATACGTAACTAGAAAGACTACAAATCCCAGAGTCGCGTAAGTGATGTCACAATTGTTTTCCTCCACCATTCAGATACCTAAGATCAGCGCAATATAGATATAATCTATCTATATGGCGCTGGCTAAGATAAGATAACTTTAACAAGATGCCTGTGTGCTTAGTACCAGGTTGTTATTATACCAGCAATGGGTCTTGCTCGTTCTTTTGCTTCCCGTCTGATGAAAGGACCAGGAGTGGCTTGATCAAGTTAGCTACCTAGCTAGTAGCTAGCACGTTAGTTAGCATTACAGCCTTGTCATTTTTATTAGCCTTAACATGAAGTAACATTAAGTAACCCAAAATGTTAAACAGTAAGAGTAGTAGTCATATTTCGTGAACCCTTTGAATAGTACTGTCACCGGTGTGATCATTCTATAATACACCATTTAATTCCGGGGGAGAAATGCTAACGCTAACATTAGCATTGGCGATCTTTTCTACTTCATGCTATCTGCACAAATGGTTGACATTAAACATTAAAACGACCAGGCAGTTCAGAGAGAATCAAAGGAAGGCAGGCTTTGCATGACATTCTTCAGGACGTGTTTCATTGTGGTGATAGTGAGGATAGTCAATCGTTTGTTGACAAGACAGTAGTGACGGCCATCTTGGTGACGTGTGTTGTTGACCAGAGATGTAGTTCATTGAGCCTTTCACACAAACAAATGTGTTACTTCACAGTTTTACGACACATTTTAATTTTTTTGACTTGCAAAATTATCTTTTAAATTGACAAACATCATATGTGTAATTCGTGGCACAATTCAAACGGGATCGAAAGATAATCTTTCTCTCTCCATTGACTTCAATGCATAACTTTTCCGAAATAAGGTCCCATGGGGCTCAACCGGAAGGGGAGGGACTTCGCCACTCTATAGCTGAAATGCACACGGAGGAGTCGAGGAGGGGTGAGGGAGGAGGGGTGCGGGAGGAGACGAAAGGGAGGATACACGAGAGCAGACTACGCGGAAGTGTTTTCACTACTCGCGTATAAAAGCCCCGCCCCCACCTTCACAGCTGGTCGATTTCAACACAGGAAAACGGAGAACTGGAAGAATGAGTGGAAAAGCGTCACATAAATGTGTAAGTGCTCACAGCTCCGTGGGAATTATTATGTGCAATTCATTTCTTAAGGTTATACTAACAATTTAAGTCATGTTTAATGATCTTGAACGTCACTAAAACATAGCTATTAAGAAAGCTATTTCATAAATGGCTAGATCTTGATAAATAAAAAGTATTTGTTTTGTTTTGTGTTAAGATATTCTGGAGTTAAATTATTTAAAATTCACAGTCCTGAATGTGGGTTTGTGGTGAATGTGGGGATCTACAGGACACACATGTTCAGAGTAAAGGCTTTCACATTATTATAATTATAATTTTATTGAAATGTACATTTTACACCAAAACGAAACACAAAAGCAGGACCAACCATCATACATTGAATTCCTTGACTAAAAAGAGAAAGATTCATCATTTAAATATATATTTAACCAGTGGCGGCCGGTCCATAGGGGCGCTAGGGGCGCCGCCCCACCTCTTCCCATATTAAAAAATAAAAATAAAAATAAAAATAAAAAATAAAAATAATAAATATATTTTAAAAAATATATATATTTTTATTTTTATTTTTAATGAACAAGGTAAATATTATATAATTGGTATCAGTAAAATGTATGATCTACAATAAAATCTCATTTAAAATTGTGTTACGATGTCTAAAGTTACTGATAAGTCACATGTTTCCTGCCTGGCCTTGCCCGTGTACCTTCTCTCGTCTGGGCGCTAAGAGAGGAGCCCTCAACCAGTGCAGCAGCAGCCACTAGCAGCTGACTGTTGCTATCTGTAACGTGTAAACTATGCCGCGAAAACATAATTTCAGCCAATCAGCGTCGTCAAATATGATGGTCACAGGGCTCCTACGTGAGCGCCCGGTGCAGTCTGTGAGTTGTTTGGACTCGTATCCAAGGAGACAAAACAGGAAGCTGTCATACACTCTGGAAGCTACCATTAGCAGCTAATGAAAACTCAGTTTTTTACATAAAAATGGAATTATGGATCATCAATCATTTTTCAAAGTGACAGACACATTGGATTAACCTATGGATTAACCTTCAGCTCCGTTTTTCTCGTTTTTGATCAGAATTGTTATTCTGCAAAAGGTGAGCATATCTCCATGTTTTGCTACCTAAAGCTACGTCGTGTGATGTCTGTATTTGCTTCCCCTGTCGCGAGTTCTGATCGCTCAGTGATGATACTTATATTTCTAGAATATGTGGAATCTCAGCTTGTAAGCTTTTTTGTGCATATCCGATAAGTATATCGATTGATTTATACCTAGAGTGCGTGAGCATTTTTTCGCTCAGGGCTCATTTAGACGCTTCTTGTGAGACTTGTGTTTTGTTTCGGTAAACATGGTTCATATCATCAGTTAGATGCGTTTCCTCTGAGTAGGACACATGAATAGTTTATTACATTTTAAGAAGCCCTGAGACACAGTTTCGTGAGAAAAAAAACGGGGGAAAAAAGCCCCTTAACAGGTTAAATGGGAATTAAATCAGTGTTCCCAAAGCCCCGGTGTTCTGCAGTTTGTGTGGGCCTACTGTACTGTTGCACAGTTTATGCTGTAGAAACTATGTCCAGGACAAGGTGTTTGGAAGTTTTGGAAGATTCATAGCTAACCACACTGAAGTTATGGAGGTATTGATCAGTCTTCTCATATTTTTAAGCCTCAAATTGTCCTTCTCCCCCCCCCCCCTCTAACATTCACCAGAAGTCATGATTTAAGGGGTCTTTTCTCAAAAAAAATTACCGGGGGAGCATCCCCCCGGACCCCTCTAGTATTGTTTGATCACCATTTCCACAGCCCCACCTAAAATATTTTCCACCAGCCGCCACTGTATTTAACAATAAATGGGCCGGTTCTAAGGGGTTATTCAGTTAAACCAAATGAGAGGGGATACAGCTGTGCACATGTCATCATTAACAGACGTCGTTTAAGAGTGACGTTTGAGTGAACGAGGACATCCCAATTAATACCTGAGGACTCCTCTGTCCTCGCGTCACCTCCTCGTGTCTCTCGCTCGCATCTTACGGAGGCGGAGCTAAGACGCAAAGAAGGGACGCGAGTGAGGGAAAGGAGGAGTCGAGGAGGGGTATTGAGACGAGGCTTGTGTTGGGCCTCCACTTGAACTGCACGGTCTTATGATCTGATATGTCATTGTCCCTGACTTTAACATCAGAGACTTCAACATTTTTGGTGAGCACCAGATCCAGAAAGTGAATGGAGCGGTCGAAGGTCCCCTTATTTGGGTGACAAACAAAGCCGCTGCTCAGTAGAAAACAATCAAACACTTTAACATAGGTCTTCGATTTATCATCAACCCAGATATTGAAATCTCCGGTCACAATGATGTTCTTTATGTAAACCTCCTTCAAGAGTTCCTTAAACTCATTCACGAATTTGTCGATGGTTTCCTTGGTTTTCTTTGGCGGGCGATAGAGGTTGATGCTCAGGACGGGTTCTTTCCACTTGGTGTGTTTCAGAACTGTCGCCACGTATTCAAAGGACTCCATGTTGTTTTTAAACTGAATTTGTATACCATGCAACACTGGAGAGAACTGGATAGCTACCCCTCTATACCTGAGAGGTTTACTCACATGAAAGAACCAGCTGAAACCTTCGGGTGAAGCCTTCTTGAGGACATCGCCTGCCGTTTTCGACACTAACCACGTCTCGGTTGAGAAAAAGACCTGCAGGTCGTTTTTTCTGATGAGGTCTAAGATTTTTAATGTTTTGTTGGTCATCGAGTGAACATTTAACAACGCTGCCCTGACGAATGGGGTTTCTTCTTTCTCTTCCTCCAGCCTCTCTTCCTCCAGCATTTCCTCGTATTCTCGTTGCCTTTGAGCCATCACCAGCCTGTAAATGAAACCAGTGAAAATCATTATCATCATTTCAGAAACCTGCGTTTTCTTGACAGAAGTTATTATAATCAAATATAATTCAGTGTAATCCACAATGTAGAATGCATTATATTTCACGTTGCTCTATACAATAGGTGTAAAGGATTTGGTAAGCTGGCATGTAAGAGTTAAAGTTATAGTTCATCAGTATAGGTGTCTGTTTGGCAGAGGGGAGAGCCCTTACTCTCAGCTGTCAGCAGGAGGCTCTGACTGAAGGGGAAATTACTGAAAGCTCGAGTTTGGTTTTGACTGCAATCTGAATGGAGTCTGGATAGGTCCAGTCCCCCTTCTCCAGCAGATAATGACACTCATACAGTATGTGGGTATGTGGGCGTGTTGTTGCTTCTGATGCTGTTGGTAAGATATGAAAGCAGCAGCTCAGAGAGGAAAAAACACAGGTTTTTTTTACTGAGAAATTCACCCTAGAATGTTTAGAATCATTTCTACAGAACAGCAAAAATCTCACTTTATGTCTTCCAACTGAATCATCAGCATCCGGCAAATCTCGTCCAAGGAGTCGGCGGTATCTCTCAGGGATTGGCTCGCTTCAGTCGCGTGATTGTTCTTGATCATTTTCTTCCAGCTGTCTATTGCATCATGAAGTGCAAATGCAAGTCCAACAACTCCTACAACCTGAGCAAGAATATTTCACACCGTCAGCATCAACAACATTCACAGTGATGTCTCAAAACTAGGATTATGATATGTAGCTGTATGCAGAGGATTTCAGAGTTATTCAAAAACACATGTAAGATCTTACCAAGCCCCCTGCTTTAAGGGCAGTGCGCCCTACTTTAGAGGCAGTGCACCCTATTTTTTTGATGAGTTGTTTGCCTGCTTCTGCAACCAGCAGTTTAGCTTTCTTTCCACTTGCTTTAAATGCAAAGACTACTAAAACACTAGCAAGTCCAACCTTAAATGCATTCTGTTTTTGGTTTAATAGTGGTGCATTCTCAGAAAACTGTGGCCCAGATGAAGAAGACCGCTTGATGCTATCACAGACAGTCCACTTTTGATCATTCCTTCTGGCGATGGCTGCAGGCAACTTAGCCATGACTAGTTGGTCCAGCTCGTCTTCGTCTGCGTTGACGCTCTCCGCCTTACACTCCGCCTTTAGCTGCTCGAACAGATCATCGATTTCTTCTGCAATCCTTTTGCTCTCGCTTTCTATGCTCTCCGCCTTCTTCGTCCTCTCGCTGGATGAGAGGTACTCAGTTAGTTGAGTAACCCCAGATATGGTTAAACCTACAACTGTATAGGCTGCTCCTAATAAACCTAGAAACGGAGCCGCTAATCCGCCGGTGCACAATGTGGCCACGCCGGCTCCAAGCAGGCTAGCAGCTCCTACCACCGACACTGAGTTCCCGACACACTGGCTGCCGTTGCACTTCTTTCTGAGAACCTCCAGCTCCCGGGCCAGTTCCCTCAGCTGCTCCGCACAGCGCTCCCTCTTCTCCATCCATCTGAACATCAGATCCACCAGCTTGTCCGCGGTGCCCATCTTGGAGGTTTCCTTCTGATGCCACTACAGAGGAGGTCTGAAACAAGAACGACAAAGACAGGTAGGCAACTGATCAACTGACCAGGACAGGCCCCTGGTCTCAGGACCGGTGTAATGGAACACATACCACACACACAGAGGGAGTAAATGAAATGACCGTTCATACACCGACTCTACACGACAGAGACCTTCATGATAACACCGGAACATTAAAAAAGTGTGTTTAACTAAACACAGTAGATATGATGCTATCACAATCAGAAAAAACATTTGTAACTTGGGACGTACAAGGAGAGGAGATTATTTTCTTATGTGATCCCAACGCATGTAAAACTGAAATTTTAACACATTGACCATGAAATACTGAGGGATATGCAAGCAAATGCACCTGAAGGAGAGAACTCTTAATAAAAAACAAATAAAAAAAACATCTATTAACACAGAACACAAAAAGCTTATGGGAAAGCCAAGAAGCCTATTTCGATATCCAGCTATATTGAACCATATATGTCTCAACAGGAGGGAGATGTTGAATGTTATTCAAAAGGTGTTAGTAGCATATGGCTTTACAAACAAAAACAAAAAAATATATATATACAGTTGAGGCCTAAATTATTAGCCCCCCAGGAGTTTTCCTAAAATTCTTCCCAATGTTTCCTGCATTGATAAAACTTGATATAATCAAACATTCACCAGTGCTATTTAGTAGCTTTTGGTACATTTTGGAAAATAAAATACGTTTTTAGGCTTGCTTTATATCAAATATAGTGAAAGATTATTTTATTTTCCAAAATGTACCAAAAGCTACTAAATAGCACTGGTGAATGTTGGATTATATCAAGTTGTATCAATGCTGGAAACATTAGGAAGAATTTTAGGAAAATGTTCCATAACTCCTGGGGGGCTAATAATTTAGGCCTCAACTGTATAATGCACCAATTAGTAAGAGAAGATACTCAGGACCCCTGCACTCAGGGTGTGACGGCGTTACGCAACACACTCTGCAGATCTCCTGATAAACCCTGTGTTTGATCAACGACAGGGACACACAGGATTTCAGCTCAATATAATAATATTATAATAATAATAGTCATTATACTTTCAAACATCCTAATGCTGTTGCTGTGTGGGGTTTAAAACCAAAGCGTTTACACAGAAAGAGATCAAAGCTCAGGATGGAAGTCTGCTGATGTCGTGCAGTTTCTCTGGATCAACAGGAAGGGTCTTCTCTGTTCACGTATCTAAGCTCAGGTAGAAAATAGGAGAGTTTCTCACCTGGTGACGAGAGGAGGACCTGCAGCCACACACACTTCCTGTCAGACTGAGGTCCTCCAGACTGCGCTGCTTATATACTGCTGCCCATCCTGCAGTCACATGACTTCTGGGAAGCTGCAGCTGGCACACACACACACACACACACACACACACACACACACACACACACACACACACACACACACACACACACACACACACACACACACACACACACACACACCAGATATTGCAATATTTAAGTAAGAATAGAATAAAAAGAGTAAGTATTAACAAAAATAATACAAATTAACCTTATGATATAACCCTATTCTAACTCTGTATCTTCAAAAATGTAATTATTTTCCTTTTGTAAGCTTTTCCTTAAACCACATTGGAGTCCTTGTTGGGTGTAAACAGTACCATGTCCTCAGCATATCATCAATACAAGTTAACGCACGCACACACGCACGCACGCACGCACGCACACACACATTTGTGCTCAATTATATGAGTACCTGCATTGTTAAAAATGTATTTTCTAATCCTAACACTACCACACAAAGTTACAGACAGACAGGACACTAAACACAGAGGCAACACTAAAATACAACATCGTAAAAAAAAAAGTAGTCATTGAAATCCATATAAAGTAGTCAGATATAGCAGGTGCAAACACCCACAGATGATTTCTCCAGCTTTTTTAAAATTAGTTTAAAATCCGTGATGGGTATCAAACTGGTCAGCTTAAGTTCCTGCTGAAGTGTGTTCCAGGTCGAGGGGGCAGAGTATGATATGGCTTTTTTCCCAAGCTCCGTGCGTACTGAGGGGACGGACAGAGTGATGTAATTTTGAGATCGTAGTCTATAGCTGTACTGTTTGTGTGATATGTAAGTGGATATGTAGAGGGGCAGCAGTCCAAGCACAGCGGTATAGATGAGTTTGTACCAGTGCAGTGATCTGCGTATTGATAGTGATGTCCAGTTAACTAAAGAGTACAGTGTGCAATGGTGTGTGAGGGGTTTACAGTTGGTTATGAACCTCAGAGCCCCATGGTAGACAGCGTCCAGCAGATGAAGGGAGTGAGCTGAGGCGTTCATGTACACAACATCCCCGTAGTCCAAGAGCGGGAAACATGTGGCAGCTCCAAGCCGTTTCCTAGCACTTGTGGAGAAGCAGGCCTTGTTTCTAAAAAAGAATCCCAGTTTTAATATCAGTTTCCTTAAAAGATAGTCAATCTTAGTAGTCATATGCCGCGTTTCCACTACAGCGCGCAGCCCGGTTTAAGAGGGCTGTGACGTCAGCGGCCCGTTTGTGGTTGCGTTTCCACTTGGCCTAGTACCGGCCGGCTGGTCCTAATTCTCAGTTTTTCTGGCCTCATAAAATCGTGGGGCCAGGGCCAGAGGCAACCGGGCTGTGTTTGTGACGTCAACGCTCTCGGCTGCTGATTGGTCGGAGAGAATCGTCACAATCTGCGCGCGAGATAATCCATTTTTACAAACAGCATTTTTGTTAACGGAGGAGCTACAACAATGGCAAAGAAAAGCACACCATGGTCGGTCGAGGAAGTGACGACGTCCATTATATTGCAGATGATAAGGTCCAGCGGGTGCTCGACGGGACAACTCGCAATATCAAAGTCTTTCAGGAGGTCTCTACACAGACACTGGACTCTCCAACGGCGTTACTGGAGTCTGCATGGTACGTTTTTGCTAACGCTGTGTTATTTGCTTGAAAGCTTTGTGTCCCTGCTTTGTGTCCCTGCTTTGTGTCCCTATCTGTTTTAAAGCTCACTTCTAACAAATAAGTCTATTTTATCCTTACATTTATGTTCGACAACCCCGATGGAGCCCCGAAGGCTAGCTAGGCAGATAGCATTAGCGAGAGCTATTGTTTGCTAACACCATATGTGCCATTGTTTACGTTCAGTTTGTCTTTTCTATAGTTGTTGTTGCTATTTATAGTATTGTGCTGCAGTAGTTTGTGGAATTTACAAGTCATGTTTCTGTTCTAGATGATTACATTGGGACTAGCGAGGAGGAACAGCGAGGAGGACACAACGTCCTCTGCATCAACAGCACAAACCGAGGAGGAGAGGATCTGGCCCTGCAGGAACGGCAACTGGCCCAGCAGAATCAATGCCATGTCTTATCTTATTGCTTGTTAATAAATAATTGCACCCACCAGCGATCGCACAGAAAGATGGCATCATCTAGGCGTCCCTCTGCAGTCAGAAATATCATAAACACCATCGTCCACAAAGCACTGTACAGGGGTTTATGGATTTAAGAGAATACTTATCACAGTGAAACCTTTATCATCTGTTGCAATTAAAGCAAATAAGAGAATAAATACTTGGTTAAATAATACATTTTAACTCTTTAGCAGGACAACTCTGCATACTGTTTGAAATTGAGTTTGCTAGCTTGAGGTCCTCCTCTAAAACATAACATTACATAATGGTATTAAGAATACATGATAAATACATGTAGAAAAATTACTCAATTGTAATACCCTCGTTGTGCTAGACTCAAACACATTGCTTATATATTTCAAAGAGAAGAGAACAAAAGAAAACACCTATACAAAGAGAGCGGTGCACAGCGCTTAATATTTACTTGCACTATATTTCTGTTGATCTGGGTTATTGTGTTGCACTGTTGGAGGAGCCTGTGACCTAAGATGTTCATTGTCATAACTACACTAGCTATGTTCGTATGACAAAATAAAAAACCTTGAACCTTGAGGCTGTGTCTTTCAGACAAACCATCATAATCATATTATTTTATGCTGTGGATACTTTAGCCTCCATCCATGTTAACAATTTTTTACACTTGCATTTATGAATATAGTTCTGTTGTGTTTTACACTTTTGTATTTATGTTTATAGTTTGCTTTGATATTTGCTTAATTTATTAGATTATTATTATGGGGGCAGTACTTGTGCTTGAAATTCAAATATTTACTAAATAGTCAATTCTGATAACATTTTTTGGTTTAAATAATTTGACAAACACATGTATGTGAAAAAGAAAAGATGTATTTATGTTCAATACAATACAATGAATATTTAGGTATTACACGTAGGTTTTCCTCAGGCATCCTGAAGTTCTCCACCCACTGAGTGTGTGAAAGATGGAACAATCACATTCCACCACTCGGTAGCTCGGTCGGTAACTTCTGAAATACACAAACAAAAGCATACATATTTTAATACGTAAAAGTGGTAGCTACAATTAATTAAATACTTGAAATACTTTGGTCGTATAGGGAGAGTGAGCCTAAACACATTGCTAGTTAGCGAACGTTAGCTTACCAAGTAGCATTGTAGTTAGTAGTGATTCGAGTCGTCCTGTAGTCTCTGCGGCGTAGGAGGACTGCCCGAACTCTCGCGTCAGCTTCTTCTATACCTCGTCTTGCTATACGTCGCCTCTTTCGAAACAACTCTTGTCTATTTCTTGTGATAATAAACCACACAGCAAAAAACAAGCAAACGATCGCTTTCACATCTCCATTGTTGTGTCGCATTGAAGATGACGTCACGGCAGTTTTAAGCAGCGTCGCTCCGCCTACACTGTTACTATAGATACTGACCCGGTTCCTAAACTGTAATGGAAACGCGCCACAAAGTGAGCTGGTCCTAACGAGGCCGGGCGCGGCCAAAGGAGGCCGAGCGGGGCCGAGCGAGGCTGTGTAGTGGAAACGCGGCAATAGATAGTCAATAGTCAAGTTTCTGTAGGTGTGAACAGCTTCAATGGGGTTATGCTGGGCAGACATGATGCAGGGAAGAACAGTTGGTAACTTTTTCTTCTTGGAAAACAACATGACTTTTGTCTTGTCTGAATTTAACACCAACCTGAGGTGGAACAGGTGTGACTGAAAAGTGTCAAAAGCAGACTGCAGACGTTCAAATGCAAGGGCAGCAGTGCTAGCACAACAGTATAGATCAGTATCATCTGCATATATATGTACAGAGGCATCAATATTTTGATGCACATCATTTATATAAATAGTAAAAAGGGTGAGTCCCAAGACCGAACCTTGAGGAACACCTCTGGGCACAATAAGAAAGCTTGAGGAGAGACCGCTGAATTGTACACATTGTTTGCGATTTAAAAGATAGTTTGAAAACCAACCAACAGCTTGGTCAGACAGGCCTATATGGGATAACTTCTGGCATAGAATGCCATGGTCCAAAGTATCAAATGCCTTGGATAAGTCTATAAAAAGGGCAGCACAGTAGCTCTTTGCGTCCAAGCCTTCAACAATGTCATTCACTACTTTCAAAGCAGCCGTTACTGTACTGTGCTGCTTCCTAAAGCCTGACTGGTGAGGAGATAGAATGTTGTTCAAGCTTAAATATTCTTTGATTTGATCATTCACCAGCCTTTCAAGTACTTGAGCTAAAATAGAGAGCTTGGAAATTGGTCTGTAATTATTCATCAGCATGGGATCACCACCTTTCAATAAGGGGAGAACATTTGCAGTTTTCCAAACATCTGGAATGACATTGTTTGTTATAGAAAGATTAAAAACATGACACACTGGTTGGGCTATAATATCTGCAGCTAGACGTAAGAAACAAGGGGGGAGATCGTCTGGGCCTGCTGATTTATTGGGGTCTAGGCCCTTTAGAGCCTTACAAACATCCCCAACATTGAAGGGGTTGAAGGAGAAAGTGTGGCTACTGGAGGTATGACTATTGGCGATGGAGGGAGATGATTTACCAAAAGATAATGTGTCAAACAAGGAACTGGAGGCAATAAAATGTTTATTAAAACAATTAAGCATCTCTGTCTTATTTGACACAGGGGTGGAGTCAACAACAATGTTTGGAGGCAGCTCTAAGGAGCGAGAGCTGGCAGAGAGGGATTTTATGGCATGCCAAAATCTCCTAGGATCGTTTAAACTGTCTGTGGTCTGGGATAAGTAAAAATCGCTTTTGGCTTTTTTAATGGAAGCAGTACAGCGATTACGCAGTTGACGAAAAAGAAGCCAGTCAGCCTCAGAGCCTGTCTTCCTCGCAGCAGCCCAAAGGAGATTCCTCTTGCGTAAG